GAATACTGCAGGAATTGCAGATGTGTCTGTTTCAATAGCTGTGTTCAATTCAAATGGTTAGCAAGTTTCTCTGCATTAGGAAGTTGGTGGGTTTTGTTCTCAACAGCAGAATAGCCGAGGCAGTCAGGCAGAAGGTGACGTGGAAGCAGTGTTGTCAGTGCAGTAGTCCAGTATGTCTAGGAAGTCACCTGGATACTCCTGAGAAGCAGGTAGGGTGAGGAGTATAATGTGCTGTACTGCAGGACATGGAGCTCTGTTCCTTTTGCTGTTTACTGGACCAAAGCTTGAGCATCTGAAGTTTGGCCTCTGGGCAAGTCTGGTGCATGGGTGTTACTAAATAAGGAAGCTTCACAAAATCTATAGCAGACCTTAAGCTTTCCCAGCTCACTCAGTCACTTGAAGTGCTGTGGATGCCCCAGGTCTCTGATGCTTCTGTCAGAGCTTTTTGGGACTGCAGCTGGAGCCAGGAGAACTGATATGTGGGAGTGCCTGCTCGAGGCAGGGCAGCAGTGCTGTTAACACAGAGGTGCAGACCTGCCTGCTGGGGCTGCACTGTGTTGTCCTGCTGGGTTGTGATTTGCAGCTGCTGTTTTTCCAGCACTGCCTAGGAGCAGATACTGAGTTGAGGAAAACAGTGCTGCTTGTCTAAACTAGCCTTGATAGTCAGCTTGTTACATGGTGGGAATTTGTGTGGGCAGTGGGAAAAGGAGCAGTGGTATGTCCCTTGGAATGCATTGTCTGCACACTTGAAAGAAAGTGGAGAAATATTCAACTCCCAAATGTGTCTGTAGAAATGCATTATTTTAGAAGTAGGGAGCTATTTCTGCCTTGGTTTTGGGAATGCTGAGAGTGCAAGCTTAGAGGCAACATCTGTCAACTGCTCTTCTCGATGGAGCTGTGTCTCAGGTGTGTTTATGACCAAGGCTGATAAAAAAATCAAGTGGCTGAATTCTGTGTGCTTTTCAAGGCTTTGCTCTCACAAAGTATATAAAAATCTTTATAGCTTCAAGAATTAAATAGTGTCTACAAAAAAGTCAGGTATTTCTTGTGTCTGCTTTCAGTGTAGTGCTCATAAACGTGCCTGCAGCGCGGTGTACTGAGTGAGAGAAGGCAGTGCCTCTGGGGGAAGGACTGCTGTCTGTGTGGGGAGGAGGGAGGCTGGGAGGGTTGGTACAAGTGCCCTGAAATTATCCCAGTGGATGTCAGTGAACAAGCAGAGTTACAGGCAGCGTAGCAGTGCACCACGAGAGAAGTTGAGCAGCTGTAAGGGGGGGTGGCATCCTAGCAGTGTGTGGGGATCACAGAGGGAATCTGAGAGCCAGGAATGCCTGCGTTTGTCATATATGGCACGAAGATGTGATCAAAACTGAGCTGCAAGAAACAGCTCTTGGCAGGGGTTCTAGTCCTTTTTGGAGTTTCTTCTTAGGTGTCCTGTGCTATGGACACGGGCTTCTTTTGTGTCTTGAGTACCTCATAAAGCTGTAGAGGTCAGAGTTCCCTTTGTTTCCCAGCAAAGAGCATGCACTAGAAACACTTGTCGAGGTTTTGAGGATTCTTTCATTATGGACTTGAAGGAAGGTTTTATTTCTTCTAGTTGCTGGGAGGCCTATTTGAAGGGCATTCATGCTCCAGCTGGTCTTATTTTGTATTTTGGGTGGATTTGTAGCCCATAAAGTGATTGACTCCAGTGCATTCGGCTTGCAGACTACAGTGCTTGGGAGGCTGTGCAGTTCTGGAGGTGGGTCATCTCTGGAGTGGGGTGGCTCTGGCTGCGGGTCAGCCTGGTCTTGGGAAATCTGGTTCTGGAATTAACAGGGAGGAGACATGGGCACATGGTCCAGGCATCAAGTGATGCAGAGTAAGTTAGCAGTGAAAATATAGCCCAAGGCAGAAGTGGATTCAGAACACAGATGAATACACTGGAATTTATATATATAAATACAATAAATGAATAAATATATAGCCAGGGATTCACTACTTGTCAGAATAAATAGCCAAGGGATGCACTACTTAGAGGAACAGCATTTGGTACTTTTAGGGGTTTTTTTAGTTATTTAAAAAAGTAGTTAATTGTCTGTATATCTAAAATAATGCATAACTTTATTCAGAGTGTTTGTTGATATTATTCTAGACTATCTCCACAAAATGGCTCTCGGCAGCCTGAAAGATGGTAAAGGTGCTGGAAGATTTTTCAGCCTTATTTTGTTCTACCTGAGTAAGCAACTGGGGTACTTGGAATTTGGACAGCTACACTGTTTCCTGGTTGGGGTTTCAGGAATGTGACATGATGAAGTGTAAATCGAATGTTGAGGCCTGTGAAATTAGTCAAGGTTGACCTTAAATACGCAAAGGGAAAAAACAGACAAGTGTGGCTGATGTAGAATTTCATTAAAAACAAACAAACAAAACCCAGCCCAGGAAAGAAAGGCAAAACATTGCCATTTAGTTGATAACAAGATCCCAAAAGGGAATAGTTAAGTTGACAGAAATGATGGTTCAAGGGGAAAAGTTAAGAAAGAAGTGTGAGCTTTGTAAAGAGTTTTTATTTCTGCTAGGTATCTACTGGCTTATATAACTTTAGATGCTATTTTATATATATATATATCTTATATATATTTTTTTATATGTATTTATATATATTCTATATATATTTTTATATGTGTTTATTTATAGTCTATATATATTTTATATGTATTTACATATTATATATATTTTATATATATTATATATATTTATATATATTTTAATATATATTTATATATTTTATATATATATTTATATATATATATATTTGCTTTTTAGCAGATATTTCAGAGAAAAGTGCAATGTGACTGTCCTGTGTAACTTCTGAGGCTTTTGTGCTCAGATGAGTTTGATGGAAATAAAGGACTGAAAGAGATGAAGCTCCTACAAGCCTTTTGTGTTCTAAACCCAGATGGCCACTGAGGCCCAGGCAGCTCAGTGGGATGGGGGAGAGAATGGGAAGGGGAACGGTGAGAATTCTTGATTGAGATGAAGTTCACTGAGTGAGTTTTGGTTCAGAGTTGTGCCACTTGGCTCTTTGAGGAAAGAGTTTTTATGGTGTTGGTGTTTACTGATGGAAAACCGTTCAAGGTCACAGGTCTTCTGGCCAAAGCCAGGACCGTCTTCTTTTCCGGCTCCCCAGCACTCAAGTGTTGGCTGATATTGCCGCCTAATGGCGAGAGCAGCGCTTGGCTGAGGATTTAGGGGCTTTGCACTGCGTTGGGTTGACGGTTCTTACGCAGTCGGGTCTGCTCAGGTTACGTCAGAACTGTTGTCAGGGGAACTTGAGACTTGGCGTTTCCTTCTTGTCCTTCTGCTAGTCAGAGAGAATTTTAAGGCTGTAAAAACTGGTTAAAAAGCCAGGAAGTGATTGTTATTTTATCGTTGTGACTCTTGTGTGTTACCCGTGTACTGCTTTATGGGTTTGGTGCTTAAAAGGAAGTACTTTTATTGTGAGGATAGTTCAAAACCTCTTCCAGTAAAGAAGGTCTGCACGTCACTCTGACATGATTCCCCATGCTGGTGTTAGGGAGCCCTTCTGGATCATTTCATCCCCAGCTGGAGTTCAGCATTAGAGCTTCAGCAAATAAGAGTGTGTGTCCTGTGAGATTTTTGGGAGGGCCCTAGGGCTGTTGTACTAAAATTGGCAGTAATTCTGTTTTGACAGCGTAGCATCACATTTGACTAAATGAGGAATTAAGTTTTAAAATAATAAATATTTAATCTTCAAGGGAAATTTCTTAATAGAGCTTAACTTCTTGAGTGGAAGTGATTATGTGCTTGTTTGCTCAAGCTCGTGAGACTTGCATTAGATGAGGTGCATTATACTTGATAAACGCTGCTTGCAGATGCTATCAGGAGACATGAAACGCATGCATTTCAATTGGCTGCCTGATTATCACTGGAGTTAATCACTCTAATTTACATATTTCTGTCCTGACTCTGTACCTGAGCTGCTGCCCTGGCTGAACGTTCCCACGGTCAGCAGTCACTTAAGGCAGGCATGGGTTTTTGTGAGCTCTTCTCTGAGGTGGATTTCCTAGAACTGTGGGAAAGCTGTGCAGGTGAGCCTTGAGGCGATGCCAGTGTCACCTCCTTGAGGCCTCGAGCAGTAGGCAGGACTAACAGAAGACAGAAAAGAAAGGGGAGTGTTGATTTTTCCCTTTGGTTTGCCCAAGCATTTGGCAGTACTTGGCTTGTGGGTATAATTCCTACCTCGGTAATTCTTCTCTACCAGCGAAGAGGATAAAATCCCCTCATACTGGGAAGCTGGAAGGTGGGCTCAACTTCTCGCTTGCAGTTTATGCCACGGTTGGACTAAATATTCCTGGTGGGACTGGTTGTGAGAAGATGCTGAGTTGTACTCGGTGTGTTTAGTGTGGTTTAAATAAAAACGCTTGTTTTAGAGCTGACTGCTTGCACCGTCTGGGAGTGCAGGGGGGCTCTTGAGGCAAACCTGGAAAGCTGCTTGACTTCTTCAGCATCTCTCAAGACTTTATCTTGTTTTAATATTTTACTTTTTATGTTTTAAAATGGAGATTTAGGGAATTAGTATTAACCCTTATCGAGTATTGGGGGATTTAGAAATTCGGAATATCTGGAGAATACCTTCACTTGGTTCAGGTTTTTGGATGACTCTAAGTACTTCGGGGTTAATACCTGTATACGTAGTTTGCACTGGGCTTTATAAATTGGTTTGAATGTGAGAAGGCTTTTCAGATGATTTTCATTTAATATTGAGAAAATATTTTCATGTAATATTTTGAGAAAATAATAAAATCCTTATGTTTTTTGTCAAGAAGACTTGACTTCAGATTCATGAAGTGTGATAGCAAATCTTTAACTTTTTAAGTGTTTGTCACTCGTCACTTAATGACTGACACAGTCTTTCTTACTCATTCCTTAGCATGTAGTCGTGTTGACTACAGAACTTACCAACTCCAGTAGCTTCATTTCTTTACACTTCCGTTTTCCAGGTGGCTTCTCGACGGTGTTCCTGGTCCGCACCCACAGTGGGATACGCTGTGCACTGAAACGGATGTGTGTGAACAATGTGCCAGATCTCAACATATGCAAGAGAGAAATCACAATTATGGTAAGAGGGCCATTACTTGTAACTGCAGAATGAATCAATCTGTGGTATACACACACCTGATGCCTCTGCAGTGATAGTTATTTCTAGATCCTGGTTTGTTTTGACCTTATGGTTCTGATTTTGCACTGTTAGTTTCAGAAAGTAATGCTGTGTTTAGGGTTGGTGTGTCATTAACTTCTGAAGCAATCATTAAAAATGTATCTGGTATCACAGTCAGTTTGGTCAGTACATCTGGTTCCCAAGCAAAAGAACTTTCATCCACTACTGCAGTGGCAATTGAAATTCTTCCTCTTTTAATTTTTTTTGGTAATGAAGTGTAATTTGCACTCTCTTTTTCAGAAAGAGTTATCTGGGCACAAGAACATTGTGACCTATTTGGACTGTGCTATCAACTCGATAAGTGATAATGTCTGGGAGGTGCTCATCCTCATGGAATACTGCCGAGGTAAGAGAGCTCCTGAGTTTTCAGAGAAAAGGCAGGGAAGATGTTTGTAGGATCACCTGGGATTTTACTTAGAACTGTTAAACCAGTTCATGTAAGAGGTGAACATAGATAATCTCATGTCTGGAATCCCACTAGCTCGTGACACTCTCCTGTTGGCACTGAGCTCTGAGGAAAAGGTAAAAGTGAGTTGCACTTGCCTCTGTGACTGAGTATGATTAGGAATGGGGAAATTAATTCTCTAAGTATGAAGGGAAGTTGGTGCGTGTTCTGCTGTCCGTGCTAATCAACAGGTAGTTGGAACATATTCTATGGAAAGATTGCCGGACTTGTCACCACTCTTCTTGCTTTGTTGTTTTTGGGTTAGATGATAACATTGAAGATACTTGACTCTTACCTGCCAGGTGACTTGTTATAAATGAGCATAGCATAGTGAGTGTTGATAATGCCAGCTAAAAGAAAATAGTCCTGTGGTCTCCCACCTTATAATGTAACCTTCTTTCAAACAATATGTAAGAACAAGTAGTTTTTGGATCCCCACTGCCCCCCACACATATGCACTAAGTTCTAAGTTCATATGGAATGAACTTGCCCTTGAGTTTAACTTGTGAAGTTTGTCTAAAGTTTAGGGTGATTGGACATAATATGAGACAGTGTTTAACTGAAATAGCTGAAGATACTGGAACAAGTGCTGCAAGTACAAAGTAAATACCTTGAGCTTAGGAAGAAAAGCCACTCTGTGGTCTGTAGTGCTTGAATACTTTGAGATGAGTTGTGTGTGTATTATATTTGCAGTAGAAGTGGTAATTATTATGGCTTGTGCAATCTGTACCATAACAAGCCATTTGGAAAACCAGGTTTCTTTTGTTTAAATACAGTGACGGGAAAGCTTCCTTGCGTCTCATTCGTGGACTTGGTGCATATAAGTCTTCTGTACCTGATAGGAATTACTTGAAAGAAATTTCTCTTGTGGTTTCTTTAGCTGGACAAGTTGTGAACCAGATGAACCAGCGTCTACAGACGGGTTTCACAGAGTCAGAAGTCATGAGGATATTTTGTGACACCTGTGAAGCTGTTGCTCAGTTGCATCAGTGCAAAACGCCCATAGTTCACCGGGATCTGAAGGTATGAATGCCATGAAAAGGGAATCTGGGTTAAAATCAACCATCTGCTTGAAAAGCATTGAGGATATAGAAGGTATTTCGATACCTAAGACTGACTACTGGTTAGGAACTTGCTATGGATGGAGCTGTAAACAGAGAGACTAAACCAGACTTGAAACAGAGGGACTACAGAGGCTGTAAACAGAGACACTAAAATAAGTTTGTGATGCTAAAACTAAGTCTATCAGTTGATTTTTCTGAAAACTTCCTGTTTGTGTGAGAACATATAGTAACACTTGGAAATTAATGCTGGTATTTTAACATAATTTTTCTGTGTATTGATTTCCTTCCAAGGTGGAAAATCTACTGTTAAACGATAGCGGGAACTACGTGCTCTGTGACTTCGGCAGTGCCACCAACAAATACCTGCATCCGCAGAAAGATGGTGTTAATATGGTGGAAGAAGAAATTAAAAAGTAAGATTACTTTTAGGTGACCTATCCTAAGCGATGACTCTGCTGAGAAACCCCATGTATTGTTGTGTGGTGTGCATGTACCATTAATATGAATTGAACTTAATGATTGATCTTGAATTAATTTTGGCATAAATATAGTAAAAGAGTGGAACACACACTCTTGAAATCGTGTATTAGTGTGGTTTTGCCCTTTGGGCTAACTACTGCAGAGGAGTAAATACAAGCTGCTCCTTCTCAAGTTTAAAAAATGGTGGAGATTTTTTCCAGCTCTGAAGTATTTGAACTACCACTTGAGCAGTTGTTTTGAGATGTTAGTTTTTTTTGAGGTCTGCATTCTGTATGCTCCGTTATGTGTTAGGAAAGCTCTTGTAGGACCCTTGAATCACACCTTCCAGATGACTGGCTGCTTATGCACAGTGACTTTTGGAAAAGTTTACACTTCTGAGGAAATAACAGTAAAGGCAAATTTTAGCTGACCTATTACTTATTCTTCATTACATCTTGCTACTTTGAATATTCTTTGTGATGCTGCAAATGCAGTACATGACTCGGATTATGTGAGACAGTTCCAGGCATGTATCTGAAACTTGTGTGTGATTGGTGTGTATGTGGCAGATAGGGGAAACACGCTTGCGGTTCTGAGGCAGTCTTCAGCCATGTCCTCTCTTTGTTTTACATCGCTAGGTACACAACACTGTCATACAGAGCTCCTGAAATGATCAATCTGTATGGAGGAAAGCCAATTACTACCAAGGCAGATATCTGGGTAAGCAAAAAATCATGTAGTATGGAACTAATTCATGAGAGGCCATTAAAAGCAGCATTGACTGACTGAAAAATTAGTTCTCGGAAAATAAAACACATGATGCAGCTAAAGAACACAGAATATAGTAGAGATCTTGGATAGTTAACTCTTTGGTAAGTAAAATGAGTGCCACGTTTGATTTTTATTTAGAAGGAAGGGGAATGTGATTTAGAGTTTGTCTTTTTTTGTCAGCCCTAGTTGCTGCTTGATAGTCCCCAGAGATTTGTTGTGGAAACCTGTTGGCAGCATGATCAAGAAAGGTCTTTTTATTAGGTGCTGTGCAGTGAAGAAAATAAACCGAGTGCAAAGGCTAGTGGGGTATCTCCAGGTGATGTGACACTGAGAATGCAGCTCTTGGTATGCCCTGGTTTTGTAGTTTGTTATCTATATAGGAGTGAGTGGAAAAGCAAGTTGTGTTACTGCTTGGTATATCAGCTTGTCACGTGAACTGTTCAATAGCACGGGTTCTACACAACATGTAAGCAGCAGCTGTAGCCAGGATGAAGTTTGTGTCTCATTGGTGCTGCTCTCTTGTGTAAAAGGCTTGCTCTCATCCCTTCACAGTGCCCGTGTTTGTCTTTTACAGGCACTTGGCTGCTTGCTGTATAAACTCTGTTTCTTCTCCCTTCCCTTTGGAGAAAGCCAAGTTGCTATTTGTGACGGCAGCTTTACCATCCCGGACAGCTCACGGTACTCCCACAGCGTGCACTGTTTGATCAGTAAGTGTGGGGGCAGCGCAGCAGTGCCTTCAGCTCCTGGACCAGGGAGACACAGGTCCTGCTCCTGGAGGAGAGTGACTGTGGTGGGAGGTGCAGTCTGAGGGAGCGGTGGTGGTCACTCCTGGCTGTGACCTGCACTGGCCTTGGAAGGGAGCCTTGCTTGTCCTCTTGTTCCACGGAGGACTGTGCCCCAGGGCACAGACCTGAGGGGCTGCCTGCAGAGGGGTTTCAGAAGCCTAGAGCAAACTCCTTGAAGTGGCACTGAGAGGGAGCCAGGGGAATGAGTATGAGCGAGTCTTTCTCCTGGGCAGCTGATGTGACATTTAATGGATGGTCTTACCAATTTTACAGGATATATGCTTGAACCAGACCAAGAGAAGAGACCTGATATTTTTCAAGTGTCTTACTTTGCCTTTAAAATTGCCAAAAAGGATTGTCCTGTGTCTAATATTAATGTAAGTAGTCTTTAATTTTTTCAGTCTTTTCAGTGTATTATGTAGGTAGCATTGAGAAAAGTCTGCTGAGAGATCACTTCAATTTAATAATAAACCTGATTTCTAAATGTAAAACATAGCAGAGAAGACTGGAAGCTGCTGTTGTGTACACGTAGTATGAGCTCTGAACAAAACATGTTCTTAATTTTGACAGGGTAGCTTCATGGACTCTATTGATACTGCATCATGCAAATGACTTTTAGTCATTAGTAATCTCTTCCTTTAATACAATTAGTATGAAATATATTACCGAACTTAAACTTGTTGACAATAGAGGGTTTTGTGTTGTAACTGTAGTGTCAAGAGCATTTGTTTGCTTTGGGCAACCCCTTTTTCTCAATCATCCTTAACAAATGTGTCAGTCCCTTGGAAGGACCCCAGTGAACTGAAGGCAAATAGAGCAGTGCCTGAGTTAGCCTGTATTCCTGCCCTTGCTTCCCGTGGGAGTTGGACCTTGGCAAGTGTGAACTTTGTCTCATAAGTCACCTTCACAAATGTAATTACTCTGATGGAATTTGAAGGCACATCACTAATGTTGATTATTATAAAGTGGTTCTCAAGAGAAGCATCAGGAAAAATCCATCTCAAATTTTGAGTTTGCAACAGTCAATTATAGTGAGCTCTGCCTTCAGGGGCAGACAAGTGAACTTCCTGAGATCCCTCTGACTTCCTTTATCCTTGTAGAAGGAGGTGTTCAGTAAGTGTGAGTGTTGCCTTTTGGATACACATGTTAAAAAAATAAGAAGGAAATCTTGAAGTACTTGACAAGTAACTGTCTCTACTATTTGTGACTAGATTTTTTAGATTTGCATGCTGTACATGCATTTGTCATTAGAGATGATCTTCGTACTCTCTCCCCCAAAATTACCGTTTTCCTTGGTAAAATATGGTTTAGGTGATTCACTCAGGAATTTATTTGAGAAAGGGGGTAAGTTAAATGCCCAGGGAAGCTTGGATGCTGAATGGTTTTCTGGAATTTGCGTTGCAGTGGAAGAGCTAAGTGGACTAAAAACAGTTTCCTCCAAAGATTGGGCTTGGAATTTAGTTCCTCAGCTTGAGGCTGAAGTAAGTCTGCTCTGTGCAGTCACGCGAAAATGTCTGAAGAAACTGTTGCACTTTATTGTTGATAGTTGTTAGTGTGTAAACGTAGTGAAGTAGTTGACAAAACAGACCAGTCATGTTCTGGTTTTATTTCTGCAATGGATGAGAGAGTGTAGAGATACTGTTAAATTAAAACTCATTTAATCTACAGCTGTGAGTTGAGCAGGAAGCCTTGTAACATCCAAGTCTTAAACCCTAGTATTCCTTTTCAATATGTAATGATTTTTTCGTTTCAGGATTTCATTTTTTTAAATTTATTTAAATTTGTTTTTCCCAAGAGTTCTCCTGTCCCTTCAACTCTCCCTGAACCCATGACAGCTAGTGAGGCAGCTGCTAGAAAAAGCCAAATAAAAGCAAGGTGAGAAGAAGATGTGACTTCACTTTTTTTTTTTTTTTGCAAAGATTGTTAAACTACATGTTGGTCTGAAACCTGTTTGCAAATACTTGTTAATAAATGAAATATTACTGTAGTAGAAGTCATTAGATAAACTGCAATTGTAAGAGCTTCAAGTCTCCCTTTGAATTCCACTCCTTTGCTTTTTTCATTATATTGAGAATCCTGGGAGGAAAAACTGAGAACCTGGTTAATGAAAGTAAATGGATTTTGTTGGGTTTTGCTTCTGGTTATTTTGTGTTTTTTTCCAGAAGTTCCAATTTTATACCGAAGTAGTCCCTTTTGTCCTTGTAGGTGAAAACAAATCTATAACATTGGGGCTTCCTATTGATGCTTTTGATTTCTGCTATGGTAGAGTGTGTGCTTAATGATTCCTTTACCCTTCTATTCCTTGTTAATGGAAGTTGTTAGTTCTGTTTACAAAAAATAGAAATGAAAACACAAGAAATGAGTAGAAGTAGAAACGAGTTAAGAGATGAGATTTTCCTTTATCTTATTTCCTGTCTGTATGAACAGTCAACATGTTTCTAGTCAGGACTTGACTGCCACTCACTGCTGGGAACTGAGAGGAGATTATTCAGGGAGATAGCATCTAGTGTCATGATCTCCTTGGGAAAAGGGCTGCTGCATGGCTCCTTCTTAATGATATTCTGTGTTAGTCATATCCGAGAGCTGCCAGGGGTGGTGGGTAGAGTATTAGGAAGCAAACTTAAGGTACTGAAGTGCAATGTAGAAGTAGAGTAGCTCATGGTTAAGACATGACTGAGCTATTAAGAGATGTACTGTGTCTAATTTGAAGAAGAAATAGTTGTCTTTTTATGAAGTATCTTACATGGGGAAATTTTCCCTTTCAGATTAACAGATACTGTTGGACCAACAGAAACCTCAATTGCACCACGGCAAAGACCAAAGGCCAATTCAAGCACTGCCACTTCCAGCGTGCTGGCAATCCAGAGCTCAGCAACTCCTGTCAAAGTACAAGTTCCTGGGGAATTTGGCAATCGTGGGCAAAAAGGTAACTTAAGGAAGTTAAAGGATGGACCAAAATACATTTCTTTGTCTCCTTGATCTAATAGGGATAGCCTTTAAAACTCAAATTCATCTACCTTTCCTTATATACCAGAAATCAAATCTTCATCCTTTCCAAAAGACTTGAAATATGTGAGTTGGAAGTTTGGCCAGGTGGCACAAAAACTAAATCCACATTATTGAGAAGCAAAGGTGTGTTTTCATTATGCTTACTGCTGGTGTTTAATGAACTTTCTCACTGAGAGTTCAGGGTCACTTTTAACTTGAAATTAATTCACAAAAAGTATGAAACTCTTTAACAAACTGCTTTTGTTGTAGTAGGAAAAATATTCTCCTATGCCTCAATAAGTCATGAGATATCAACAGTATGTTGGTGGTATTTGTAGTCTGGAACCGTGTAAAAATATCACTTCTCTATGGACTGACAGATTGATTTCACATTCCACTGAGTGCAATAGAGGGGAGTCACTGGGGGAGACACAATTGAGTGAAATGGGTTTTGAAGAAATCCTTTATGAATTCTTCTTTCTCAGTCCAGAAGGGTTATGGCTCTGATAAATACTCACTTAAATAGGTATCATTTTTATCTTGAACACTTTAAAGTTGCACTTGGTGCTGTTATGTGTCTATTACAGTACAGGAAGTGTGGCTTCAGGGCTGGTATTGAGAAAGTAGGAAAAGGTCAGAGAGAATGTTTGTGTCCCAGTGTGAACAATTTTTTCTAGATGGGATGTAAGTAGCATCTGACTTGGAAGACTTTTCCTGTTCTGACAAGGAATGGATCATTCCTGGGCACTTGAGAATATAAACAGCATGCAGGAGATGGATTTATGTTGGTAACTGTTTACTTAAGTGGCTGCAAAAACAATTGAATGGCCAAAGCAGTCAGGTGTTCGGTTTAATGGAGCATGACAGGTGAACCAATAGTTCCCTTAAAGAAAAAAATGTGTTGTTTTGTATACATACAAAGCTGTACACTTTGAGGGTAAGGGTTTGAGGTACTACAGTGTGTAACTTGAGTGTTAGTAAAGCAGAAGTCTGGAACCCAGCTTGCTGTTGTGAGACCAGAGGAAGCTCCCGGTATCTTCTAAGTAGAAATGGTTCATTTGCAGGCCTGGAAGTATTTTTGGAGAAGCCAATTTGGCATCTAACAGCTGTCCTAGTTGTCAGGGTGGGATGGGAAGCTCATGGACTGTGTCACCTTGAACTGTTGGGTGAAGAGGTAGCTGCCAGGGAGAGCTGAGGCTGGAGTTGGGATGGGGATGTCAGTAGTGTTGTGTGACTGTCGCAGGAACCACGCGCCCCGGGAACGGCCAAGAGCTCTCTCAGTGCCAAGGGACCACCCCGCACGGGCCGCAGCAGCACAGGGTCCTGCAGCAGCTGCAGCAGGGAGACTGGAGGCTGCAGCAGCTGCACCACCTGCACCACCAGCAGCACCAGCCCACCGTGCAGGACGCTTACATTCAGCAGGTACAGTCACATCTGTTAGGCGTGTCTGACACGCACCTTACGCTTACTGCTGTAATGCACTGGGAATCGTGTGCTGCTTAAGCATTTCTGCTGTTGCTGACTGTGGTTTTTCCTGCTAAAAGAGCTCCTGTCCCTTCGTACCTACCCTTCGTAGGCCCTGTAATGCTCATCCTAGGAAGTTGCTTGCTTTATGCTGTTTTGTTTCTGCAGTTTGACCCTGAATCCCAGCTTGCTTTGCGTCGCCACCGTGTGGCTGAAATGAAGGCTCTATCTATGTGTGAGGGTGCTTGGGATAAATATTAGGAGTTACCTAGGTGATTATGCCGTGCTTGCAGAAGGTGGTTGTACGTGGACCAGTGCTGATTATGTAGTGTAATTTTTTGTTAAAAGTGGGGAGGTGGGAAGGAAAAAGCCTCTAAACAGAATGATTAAAATGCAGTGACTGAATTGCAAGCTGGTTCTTGGTTATGTGGTATCTAAACTGAAAAATGCTGTGGAGTCAGAAGTGATATTTTTAGCTGATGCTTCTTTGAATATCTGGCTATTTCTGAAGGGGAATCATGACTTCTCAAAGCTGTTTTTTCCTTCTCAACTCCAGTATCAGCAAGCAGTGCATCAGCAGATGGTCCAGCAGCAGCTGTTGCTGCAGTCTGTGTACCAGCAGCAGCCTGCCCAGTCGCAGTATCCTGCCATGGTATGTCATGAGTGGAACAGAGGGTACAATCCGAAAATGTGGGCCGTGTTTGTAAGTCTGTTGTGTAGATGAAGTGAGAGAAGGGTGTGAGTAGTTATAATGAGGTGTGGATGTGGTAAATAGTGTGAAGATGGGGATCCGAAATGGTATTGAGTTGGGGGAATTTACCCAAACTAATCTGGAGTTGCAGTTGTGTATTAATTGGATGGGATATCTTTCTAATTTTATAAGTAGGTATATGCGAATTTGAAACAATTGGTGCTTAAGGTTTGCAGTAGTGACCACAGCAACAATTATATTATACTACTAAGTGACAGATGACACAGTGATATGACATCCTTAAATGAAGAGCAAGAGGAGCTAACTGGCATATCCTGGTTTTTTTAAAATCAGGAGAAATTGTCCTGAAATTGTGATTACTGATTAAGAGTTGGGTATGCTGTGCTGTGCAGTAGCATATACTTAGGTTGCAGTAATTTGAAAAAGCTAAGTGGTAATAGACTGGAAAAGAGACCCAGTATTACTGACCTGTTGGAGCAGTTCCTTTGCACCTGCGTGTTCTGGAGTGGGATGGTGGGTGGTTGTTTGGCTGCAAGTCCAGTGCTGTGAGTGGGCAGAAGAGATGGACCCGGCCCACGTGTGTGTGTTGCTAACACAACCCTGGTGCCCCCAGGTGCAGTATCAGCAGGCTCTCCTGCAGCAGCAGATGCTGGCCCAGCAGCGGTCACAGCAGGCACAGTCCCCTGAATACATCACCTCTCCACAAGACTTTGCACCAGCCTTAATCTCCTACCCCAGCTCACTCCCAGTGCATGCTGGAACACTGGCAGATCCTCCCCATCCTACAAGCAGGTGAGTGTTCTGGCTGAGGTATGCTCAGGGGTTTCTTGTGGCTTATATTATTAACTGTGATTAGCATTGCTTAATAAAGGGTAATAAATAATGACTTTGCTGTGAATTCTTATGAACAACAGTGTGTGGAATAAAACCCCCGTTCCTTTCTGATTTAAAAATAAAGAAAAACCCAGATTTGTCCAGTTTCACTGATGTTATGAACTAGGTTATATGTTTATGTAGGTTCTTACTAGGTTTCCCTTAAGGTAGCTTTCAGATGCTTTTGGGATGAACTGTTAATGGATATGTGTTCCTTCTGTGTAGTGTTTTGGTATAATGAAGCGTGTCTCAGATTTTGACCCTGATAAATAATCCTGTTGATGTTTCTTTCTTTGCTTCCTTGAACTGACTTTACAGGTCAGGAATTCCTGATGCTGAAGCAATTACTGGTTACCCAAAGCAGAGCATCAGTAACCCGCCTGACATGTCAGGCTGGAACCCATTTGGAGAGGACAATTTTTCCAAGTTGACAGAGGAGGAGCTCCTGGACAGAGAGTTTGACCTGCTGAGATCAAGTAAGGGACGCTTGAAGGCTTACTTTGCTTCCCAGTAAATGAGGGCTCTGTAGTTGCTCAGCAGTTCCAACACCTGCCTGTCCAAGGGCCGTGCGGGCTGCGTACAGAACATTCTTTCTGAGCATTTGAGGGCACAGTTGGGCCTGTCTTCTTCCCTTGCTTTTCCTTTCTGAAAATGTGTGCAATAGGAACTCGCCGTCTCAAACTGGTAGTTACTGGCTCAGTTACTGCAGAAATGGTACTGCTGTAGCTCTTCAATGCTGCTGCTTGTGTCACCTTCACTGTCAAGAGGCTCTCAACAGCAGAGCTTTGTTGTCAGATGGGAACAGAAGTTTGGCTGCTTGCTTTATTCCTTTCCAGCTTTTTTCTTGCACACCAGAGCAGAAGATTGTGTGGGTCTGATATGTCCTTTGAAAATGCCTGAAAGAAAATTGATCTATTACATTATGTTAATGTTTTGTAATGTCCTTTCTGATGAGTGGCTAAATGTAAGGGCTGCTTTATTGTTCTGATATGGCAATAGTTGAATAAACTTTTTCCTCTTGAAGTCAGTTATCTCCATGGTTTTTACTTGGAATTACTTCCTCTTCTTAATTGCTTAACACATGCTTGTTAGATGCTCTTCCTGTAACTGATTTTGTTGAGATCAGATTTATCAGTGGGACTCAGAAGATGTGACAATATCAAAAAACAGCTTGTGCATGCTTGGTTCTCTATCAGCAATTTCCTTGCAATTAAACGTGCAGTAAAGTTGAATTTCAAGTAATTAAAGAACACCTCTGCCTTTAGCTGGGTCTTTCTTCTTGGATTCCCATGTCCTTGAATGTAATTGAACAAGATGTGCACACTACTTGTTAATCCTTAAGGAAAGTAACTGAGTGGGTTTGTTTGTGAAACTCTAGTTGATAGTTTTTGATTATGTTTATCAATGAAGACTTACTTTTGAGATATAAAAGTAGCCTGCACACATTTCACAGTACAGTTACTTACTGCTAGCTGGGTAATGGCTAATGTACCAGCTTAAAAATGAGCACACCTTCCAAATCCAAGTTTAGGATTTGACTCAGGAGTGGAATTGAATATCTTTAAGCATGCTGCTTCCACATGAGGCCTTCAGGCATTCAAAATAATCCACTCTTGGGTCCAGAGCAGGCTAGTTTGTAGCAGGTGGTCAGTACATTACCCACTGTCAGAATCTGTAACTGTTGGACTGGTGATGGTAAGTTTGAGATGGGCTTGGTTAACCCACAAGTTGTGCACAAATCAAAGTGCCAAAGACCACATGAACTGAGGCTTGTTTGGGGCTCACCTCTTCAAGGTAATTCAGTGCACAGGAGAGCTGGGTGTGATAACGCACTTCGTACACTGGATCCAGAAAGTCAACAGCAACATTGTGCTTTGTAGCAACCAGCATTAGGTTTACTAGTCACTTGAATACAGAACTTGTCAAAATGAAAAGCCATGACTGCTTTGAGCAGCAGCACACTAGATGGCAGGCTTGTTTGTATGGGGTGGGCTGCAGATAAGAGTGGTTCCAAGGCCTTGGGGCTTGGTGTCTGTTTGAGGCCCAGGGCAGGGAGACAGTGGTAGTTGGTATCTGTGTGTACACAGAGATACACATGTCACAGCCTTTAAAGACCTTCTAACTTGGGTTTTTTGGTATTAAGGCTGTTTGTATTTTGGTATCATGTTGGGCACAACAGCCTTAATATGAGCTTATCTCAGTGTTAATGCCTTTGCTGCAGCCAAGGCAGAAATATATAGGCTTTGTCCACTGGTACTTTATCAGCCTTAGCTGGAACAATGAGAAATTGGGAGATGGATTGTACAGTTGAGGCTTGGACCTATAAAATTGTCTTTAACTGTATAATACTTCCTGGAATTTCCTCAGGTCTGAATTAAGATTCAAGGGCGAGCTCTTTTTAGGTGTAGGTTATCTCTTTTGAGGGAAAGAGGCAATTTTTTTGCCATCTAGAGAAAGGAGAAGTGCAGATACAGGTCTGATAAGTGATTATATTTTTCTATTACTAAATCCAATTGCTGTGCCATACTTCACAACTCTCATACTGTTATGTAAGTTTGTCTTTTTGCCATGTTATATGGTGCTGAGTAGCATTCAAAACATAAACCCTTTCTCACCCCTTTCAAAAGCCTACTTTATATTGTTGAGCTGATGCTTCACATGTAAATGAAAGATGTTTCTTAGTCTGTCAAATACTTTTAAAGCTGATGTGCTCATGACAGTAACACATGAGTAATTAAATATACACAGCCTTTGTTAGAGGATCAAGATGTTGTCACACTTTGTCAGGCTGATATTACTGTTGGATTTCATGGGTCGAGTGGCTTAATGTCAATGTGTGCAGTGATGGGGGTATTGCTGGGATGATTCATCACTTGTGTAAAAGGGATCCAACTCCCAGATCATGATACCTTGCTCGCACTTGGTGAATGCTTTCCTAGTAGAAAGGTGGCAGTTACAGTAAAGGACAAGGTGCAGCTGGATGGAGGTGTCTGAACGGAGCACCTTTGTGATATGGAGTGACAGGTTGGAGCTCTGTGTTCTTGTGTACACTGCTGTTTCCCTGCTGTTACCATCACTTAGTGATGGGACAGAAGCAGCAGGTGATGCTCAATTTCTGACAGCATTGTGAAGAAGTGGATTTCTTAAACAGCTTCTGTAACCACTTAATAATCTGTGCAGAGCTGGGAGCCAAGAAAAGGAGTGTGCTGTCTCGCTGGGAAGACAGCAGCCCAGCTTTCACTGAGTCACACAAAGGTGGTGGTTAGGCCAGGGATATCACCCTGGTGCTCCAACAGAGACAGGTGTGGGTGCAGTCTCCCAGGTGCTCTGCTCATCTCCTCTGCAGCCTGCACAATGGGAAGGAACTGCCTGGGCCAGCTGGGCTTTTACCTGTCAAAAACCCCTAATAGAGAGTTTATTATTCCCTCACCCTGTGCAGCACATACCTTGCATAGGCATAAGACCTGACATTTTTATTTTATTTTACTTTATTTTTTGTTCTGTTTCATTTTGTTTTTTACAGACAGGCTGGTGGACAGGAGAGCATCTTCAGATAAGAATGTGGAGCCACATTCTGCTCCACAGAAAAGTCCTCCTGAAGATCCCTTTGGTTCTGTTCCTTTCATTGCTCACCAAGGCAAGTTACACCTGTGACATGATTACCTTGTAGCTATAGGTGTACATACATGTACATGTATGTGTCAGAGTGTGCACAGAAGTTAAACCACCAAAGAGTGGTTGAGGGATCAACTGCCTCCTGAAAGCACTCGGGCTAAAGAGATTTTTTTATTATGCTAATTACCTCCAATGAAAAACCACTTGTGCGTCTGGCTCTGGTGCCTGTACGGTGACACTGTGTATCCTTAGCAGTGCTATTCCCCTGGACTGGGGTAGAACCACAAGTGCTTTTGCTGAGGGCAAATTACTTGCTAAGGCCAAGTTCTGCCACTTCCCTGTAGTCTGCTTCTTACTCACGCTGTTTCTGTAGTTAGTTCTCCAGACTGTAAGCTTCTGCTGCATTTAATGCACTATTTTGGTACAAATTGAGTCAAACCCAAACATTTTGTTGTCTCTACACGGGGAGAGGAGGGTGGGCATTCATTATTGCCTTTCGGTTCAGCTTTGATCTTTTTTTACCTTGGATGGAAGTAAAACTAACATGGCATGTGGGCATTGACTGTGACTGGGAAACTGCATCATGGTCCAGCTTAATCAACAGTTTTCACATTTGGTTGATCAGCACTTTAATATTTATTTTGGTACCTGTGACAAAGTAAAGCCTATGTGATAGTTAAATGTTAAAAACAGCTTGAGTCACTTCTGGAGCCACTTAGGTGCTTACTGAAGTTTTGTTGAGAGTTCTTGTGTGACAAAGGTGCCTTAATATGACTCTTACAGACTGTTCTTACAGAAGTTGAAAAGCTCAGGTAACGTGCCTTAAAATAAATCAGTTGGGGTCAACCTAAGTTATCCGTGTTTTCTTTCAGTTGGGTCTCGCATTCTTGGAGATCCTCTACTAGGGCTGCTTAGTGCTCACAGGTGTTCTGTGCTGCACGTAGTGTTGGGTGAGCAAGGTAACGTGTTCTGCAAAGCCATTGGTGAAAATCCCCCACAGCACCCCTGTGTGCTCCTGTTGTTGGACTTGAATTCATTCTGTTTGGTCTAATACTCTGCTCTGAGTTTGTGGTTTTGTTGTGCTCACTAGACAAGACAAGTTTGCCTTCAGTCATCTTGTTCATGTCCAGTAGATCAGTGCCACGTGAAAGCCATTTAAATAAAGAAGGGTTTGCCCTATAGGTGCTCTTGGGGAGGGTTTTCCCTGGAGTCTTCATTCAAGTGGTTGCTTTGGTTCATAGGCGAGCCTGAATTCACATGCACAACAAACAGGGTAGTTGTACTTGATGTGAGATGGGGACCATCAGGTGCTTAGTCGCCTGCGAGTATTCCTGCCCTTGTGTCCAGGGGTTGTTTTGTTGCTTTCCTCACCTGAGATCTTGCAAGTGCATCTGCTCATTGCTGTTTTTTTCAGTGGGTTATAATATAGCTTGGACTGTAAGGAATGCCCTCGCTGTGTTCTGTTTTGTGTCTTAATCTTTGTTACTTTGAATCCAAGTTTTAGTTCTTGACATACTAAAAAATAAAGGAGAGATGCCTTCTGTTAAGGTCTGGAAAAACCAATTCTGTCATGGCTGAAAAACCCAAAGTGCTTGGGACATGCTGAGCTGGTTTGTGAACTGGTACCTGTAGCATTGGAAAAAAAAAAATCAGGCATTTTTCAGTAGCCTTTTTTCTCTGGAGTTGTAACTGGCACTTAAACAAGAGTACATACTGGCTTGATTTCAAGGAAGATATTGTTAATTATGTGTTAACAGTGAACTGCACTTCGTAAAAATCTCTGATACAATAAATCTTTAAATGTAATGATTTGTATTTTAAGCTGATTTTTGTTGCCCATTGAACTGTTCTTGGTAATGTCTTGAAATGAGGTGTTGTAAGACAACTAAGACAAGGAGAATGCTGTTCACTTAGACATATTTCATTGCTCATTGAGGGCTTTCTAGGGCCAAGTTGACAAATGTCCCAAATGTTTTGATTTCCTCTTGTCCTTAAGATTGTTATGTAACATGTTCTTTCAAGTTTGTTCCTTGTAATTGTGAAAGATGTAACAGAAGTAAACCACGTGTGTACCTTACTCAGGGCATCATCCAAGAGCAGGTGACTACATGGAAAGTGGAGCAGGAGGTTAATATGTTGAGTGCAATTCCAGCGTTGGGGGGAGAGACTCTGAACCTCGTTAGAGCACGAGTGTCCTTTCCTTACTGTGACATGTCTCGGAGCCAGCGTGCAGTGTGTTAGCACTGTTTGCCCAGGGTTCTGACTGCTCAGTTCGGACTTGCTGGATTGCAATGGGATGAAATGTTGATGCTATAAACACAGGATTTTAAAGAAAATAAAATTGACTTTATTGTAAAGTGACAGCTCTTATTGCAAGTGTGTTCTACTGTGTTGGCCACAGTTCTGACTCCAAGGTGGTTATTTTTCTGCTTGGTTTCCTTTGCTGTGACATAGGTCTGCTGTATAAATGGTGTATGTGGGCTGTGGCTGAGTAGAGTCACCCAGAGGATCTCTTTGGTTTTGGAGGCTTAAGGGTTCTCTACTGAAAGGAGCAACTAATTCCTGTCATCTGATGTGAGGTGGCAGCAAAAAGCTGAAAATCACATGCCGTTTTTTGACTTAACTTAACACCAAGTAGTGGTACTTGGGCAAAATAAGTGTCACCAGGTATGTTTACGTGTGTCTGGGAATGGGATGCAAGGGAGATGCAGGGGATGGAATTGGAAAACTTAGATCATTGCTGGAGAAGTCCACGGGCTGCTGTGAATTGCGATATATTGTGATATGCTGTGAATTGTGGGATATTGCCTGTGGAGCTGAGAGTGCATTTCAGCCTGGCACTGCTGCAAGGATCACCAGAGAAGAAAACCTGGAACTGGATGGACTACAGCTGCTTATCTGTCAGACCTTCTGTACTTACTCTTGTCCACTGGGAATGGAGAACCAACGACAACATGTGTGACCCCAGGCATGCTGCCCAGAGGGCACGTGGGGTGTGAAATCACATAATGTGGTATTTGGGGGCGTCTTGGGCTGGTGGAGAGGGAAGCAGTGTGGAAGCACTTGGTGTGTATCCTGTTATAAGTGTCCTCACAAGCACTACGTGTAAATTTGCTGCATACACTAACTTATGTCTGAATGTTTGTGGAAAATAATGTCTTAGGACTTGAGATGACTGGAAAATTGGCTTGGGAAAGCATTCCAATGCTCAGTCTGTTAGTAACAAACGTGACATTGCAAGCTTCTTGTGAAAAAGAGAGAAGAAAGCACAGATGAGTAGCCAGCACTGAGGCACTTAGGCACTTGTCATGTGGAAAACAGATGCTGGTTCTGGAATGCTTGAAACACTGCATGGTGACAATTGTAAAAAATCGTGTCCCGTCGTCAGCATTTTGGAATGGAAGCTTTTGGTTCAAGTGTGCATTAACCAGCTTGTGTTGTTACATCCTTTGTTGACATCAAGTTGAGTGTTTCAGAAACTCAGGCAAGACGCATTTTAAGCTATTTCTAAATGCCAAGAAGGACATGTCATAAATATAGTACAGTTTGCTGTTGAGTTTTACTAAGTGGCCTTTTGCCATCTAAGGTTTGTTCACACCAATTCTTTGTGGGATGAAACTGGGCTAGATCGCCTTTTGCTTCCCTCAGCTTAATACTGACATTCAAAGAAGTAATACAAGACTTGAGGTAACACTCAGTGATGTGGATGGACTGTGTGAAGTGGAGGTGTTGGGAACCTTGCCTGGTATATGTCTGCCAGTGCTGACCTGGAGCTGTCTGACAGGAATTTGGGTCCTGTGGAGACTCTGCGTGAGCTGTCTCCTGGCTTGCCTTACTGGGATAAGGCTCTGATTCAGGCCCTCTCATTAACTGTTCTACTGAATGTTTTAAAGCTCAGTTGGGCTCTAGATGTGGTACTTCTCCATCGAATCACTTGGCTTTTGTAACCTCCACAGATAACCCCTTCCCAGCCACTGCAGCCTTGTTCACTGTGCAGAGACTGGGGATAAAAGCAAGTTCAGTTCCATAGCAGCTTCCTTCTGTCTTCCAGACTTCCTGCACTCAGAGACCTAGTGATGTCTGCAAATGGTGATTTTAGATGTCTTGGAATAAGAGGGGCTTTGTGGTGTGATGTGTGTTGTACCACCTGTGTGGATCTTGCAATAAACCAGCTGTCTGTGTGCCAGGCAGCAGTGCCATGGGAATGATCCGGAGCCTTGGACACAACATGTCTCTGAAAAGACCCTGCTGCAGTAGCTGGTGATGAGCATTCACCGTATCACAGCAGAAGAGGGATGTTCTGGCATGAGGAAACTCAGGTGTTGACTACTGATGTAGTTGTTTCGTGTACTGCCTCGAACACGGTTTCAGAGCACTGCAAGTGTTGTACCATAGCTGTGGAGCCTTGGGACCGCTGTGCAGTCTGGGCCTTGGAGTGAAACACAGCTCGCTAGAACTGAAAAAGAAACTACGAACATCCCAACAGGAGAAACAAAAGACTTGAGCCACTGTGACAGCACTAAACAGCTCATGCCACCAGGTCATGTTTGTTTGGCAGTTGATGTTCTGGATTATTAAGACACCCAGACCTGCACAGTGATATGGCTGTTGTGCAGTGCTCCAGATTTAGCTAACTCAGCAATTAAATTCGGTTCAGATCAATGTTTGTTCTCGCTGAACTGTTACTCTGTATCCTCTCCTGGGCTCCAGTTTCAGGTATTGGTACTGCTTGCTGGATACAGGTTCCCTGTATCAAGATAGTCTTTAGACTTCAGCTTTTCCAGGGAATACTTCCCAAGTAACCTGAAATTATCCACCCATCGCTAGTATAAATTATAGGTGTGGGCTCTGCCAAGAATTTGCTTTTTCTTTCCAAAGTGATTCAGTGGGGGGTTTTTTTGGTTTTTTTTTTTCCGAACAATCATGGACACATTTCACTCCTTTTATGACACGTTTCAACCTTTAGACTAATTATTGAAAAGAAATGTCAGCAGTAGGCGAGGCAGAAGTGTGGTGTTCTCCCATTTTTTCTTGTCCTTGAAAATAAAGGTGGTAAGTAGTGTAAATCCATTACAGTGCTGAGCAGCTGCTGGCCTGGCTCTGGTCAGAGAACTGGTGCAGATTTAGTTGCAGCCCGCGGGTAATCCTTGGGCTGACATGTGGCAAATTGTTCTGAAATGATGGTGGCAGTATGTTCCCAATTCCAAGGAAGCTTAAAGCTCTTATGCCCCACTCCTGAGCCACCCCCGCAATACCCTAAAATGAGGGGCCAGCAGAAGGCATGTAATTATTGCAGTTGTTAGAGGGAATTCATCCTCTTATAATCCTGTGTCTCGAAAAAGAACATCAGAAAATTTCCTTGAAGATTGGGATCTTCTTATATGATTAAAGATGTTCCACCTGGCTCGCATTTGAGCAAAGAACAATTGTTGGCTACAAGCTGCAAACCTGATTAGAAGTGTGGTAATCTGAACAGCACATTGCAAACAGATGTTACTGACCAGTGTGCAGCATTTTGGTGTAAATATGTATCTGAACAGTGTCTGCAGCAGGGCAGCCTGAGAAGAGGGCATGAAATCAGCATGACACAACGCCTCAGTTAGGAAAGCTGTTTGGCCAGAGCATTAAATTGCCATTAAGCAGGAGATTTTCCATTTTGGGGCATTGTTTCTGTTTGTAGTGCTCTTTATTTCATTTGCTAACTTCTTTAGCAGTGAGAACAGGGACAGCTGAAGTGTAGAAAACCAAACTATTCCTGTCATGATATAAAACCCAGTAGTTCTAGAGAGGATATTTTTGTTTCTTTGGTTTGGATTTGACACCAGTTTTCTTCCTGTTCCTGAGGCTAACGTGAAGCCACTGTGGGTGTGAAGGTGCATGCAGAGAGGATTTGTTCCTGAAGGTTGGCCAGGTAGGACTAAAAGCGTTGAAGATGAGTATCTTGGAGTAGTTTCTGCTTGGAGTTTCCAACACCTCCACACAGACTGAGGAATAAAGCAAGATACTTGCTCTTTCCTGACAGACACCGATGGGGGAGCAGTGAGGTCACCACTCTGGAAATACCCCTTGGAATACACGTGTCTTTTGAAACCCATGTAGCTCACAGCACTATCTGATGTGTGCCACTGGCTTTCCTGCTGACAGCATCTGTGTAGGGTCATACATGGGGTGCTGGTTCTGAAACTTTGATAATGGTGAGCTGTTAGTGTAGGTTGTGAGTTTGTGATCACTGATGGGTAATTCTCAGGCTGTACAGTACATAGACATTGATTGCTGCTGCTGCCATAAACAGGTCACATCCATAACTGTCAGAAAGGATGGATAAGGATGAATCTCCTGAAAAGCTAGGGATTTGGAGACCCTGTTCAGAAACCACTGATGAGCTCAGAGGCCCTCATTGCCTTGTGCTACGAGGATGTTATATCTGGATAAAGAAGTATTCCTGTAATATTTTCAGTGGCCTGTGAATGGAGATATTTTGGATAGTTTTCTCTTTTGGGGGCGCACACTTACAAACTGCACACATTGGGCTTCCTTCTCCTGCCGTGCCTCATTGCTGCCAGCACCAAGGCTGATGTGTGCTATATCCAGTGTGCAGTGGCTTTGCCCCACCCGCCCCAGTCGAACAAGAGGCTGCAAAAGTGACAAGAACAGATTGCTGGGCGGAAGGTATTGTAAAAATGAACAAGTATGCCAAACTTTCAGTGCTCTTGTTAGCTACTCAAGCACCTCTGTGCCTCTGCCTCTTGTCAGGGAGGAAGGTGCTCAGCGTTTCCTCGGACAGTGGTTCAGAGCTGCAGGTGCACGGAGAAAACACCTGACTTCGCACACAGCAAGCACGTGGGCTCTGTCTTTGCTGGGGACCCACATCTCCAGCAAGTGGGATTGCTGAGTGAGTCATTCCTGCCTTCATCCCAGTTTCTCTAGAGGGGGTAGTTGCTAGACTTGAGTGGGAATCTTAGGGTGCTAATATGGATTCCCAAAAGACTGGGTTGTCTGGATGCCTGACTCTGTTGAGAATAACAGGTGGAGCTGTGGAGATGCTGGAGTGGCTGGTGTGCCAGTGCCAGGACGTGGAGTGTGGGGTGGGAAACTGCTCCAAGTGTTTTACCAAGTGCTGACAAGTCCTGTTTGCTGTACTGGAGAGGTCTGGTACTGAGAGGTACATGTCGTGTACCTTAAGTTATGTGGTCAGTGAGTCAGTGCCTGTTGGTGGAGGTTGGAGTGGGTTTTATCTTGTCAGTGCCTTTTGCAGTTTGTTGTCCAGGGATTGTGTGTGGCAGCATTTAACAAATAATAATAGGACTTTTAGGAAGCCAGGTATAGTAGGTAAACTATGGTTCAGTTCTTGCCTTAAAAAGAAATAAACCATTTTATAAATTATTTTCTGTGTATTAAAATTATATACAAAGGTTCAATTGTTGCTTGGGAGTGTAAACTCCTGGATATTGACTTAGAGAAAATGTTCGGGGGGTTTGTTGTGTAAGTGTTGTTAACATCTAACCTAGAAATATTTCCTTTTAAATCTATTTGCGTTTATGCTAACATGACTGTTTCAGTAAATATTGGAAACAGCAGGATTTGGAGGCTGGGGGGTTATAGTCCAATGTGAAGGCTGTACCTTTGGGAAATCTCAAGTAAGCAGCAAAATAATCCAGATTCTAATTTAGTGGGTAAAGCAAATATGTAGCATTTAAAATTACAGTAGATAAGAAGCAATCTGACACCAGAAGCAAAGAAGAAACAGCTCAAAGCCCTAATCACCTGATGTTTTCAGTCATTCTGGTCATCTTGTTTTTAAATCCATACATAAATTGTATTGCTGCCGAATTTTGATTATTTCAAGTGTAATGGCAAAGGAGCCAAGTAGCTGGTGGATGAGGAAATTCGATGTTAATTCCCTTTGCAAAAGGAGAAAATGCTTCTGTAAAACACTTCTCTGGTCTAAACTAAAGCATAGAAAGAAAAGAATCTGACTTGGCCTGAAAGTTGCATGCTAATTTCTTCGTGAAGGGAAGAATTAGCTGGGATTATTTTGTATATTGCAAGAAGAGTGTTATGGGCTGGATTCTGGCCAAAGATGTTTTTTGTAGAAATAGCTGGTGCCCAGAGCCATCCTCAGCTTTCTCAATCCTGTTAACACGTGGAGTCAGTGAAATTCCAGTATTTGTGTAACGAAGCCACAAGTGGAAGGTGTTGGTTTTGGTGGGAGGGTCTGCAGTCCAGTGCAGTGCTGCGGGTAGAGCTCATGAATAACTGTGTGGCGGGAGCAGCCCCTGTCCCCAGCTGGTGTCACACATGGAGATGTGAGGAGCTTGTCCCCACAGCCGGGGTGGCTGTGGAGGCCTCCCTGGGCAGGACTGCACACATCTTGGGAGTGGCTCTGTGCCTGCCAAGAGGGGAATTCTCACCGCTCCTTAAAGCAGCGTGGCCCAGGGTGATCTGTGTCTGAGAGAAAAGGGTGTCTTAAGAGCAAATGTACCTTCCAGCTTTGACTGCATTGCTCTTCCTCCTACTCCTTCTTTGTGATAGAAATCCAAGGCTCCTGAAAACATCTCTGCCCAGCACAGGGCTCTGACACAGGGACAGACTTGGCCTGCCGAGTGATGAGACCTGTGCCGGGGCACTGGGCAGCCTTTCCTGCTCTGCCTGTTCTTGCTGTCTCTTTTCTTTACTGCTGCAAATTTTCTACTGCTTCCAGAATTCCCAAGGCAACCACCCCACCATTGATTCATCAGTGAATTGTTCTTTTAGCTCTAGTTGTCAGTGAATAGCGGGGAGGAAGCTGTCAGAGTAAAATGAATACCTAAATTTCCTTGCTATAGAGAAGCTGAGCTGATGAATCGTATTTAGACACCAAGTGGGAAGCACTGCTCTCAAACTCCAGGGGTAGCTAGAGCTCTTTGTGCCTCATTTGCTACACTGGAAGTTAGAATGGGCTGTCCTCACGACTAGAGCACTAAGCTTGTCAGAACAGACTTGTCAAAGCAGAAGCACTACCAGAAATAACTCTGATTAAAGAAAAAATAAAATTAGTTTTTCCATGCTGCTGGCTTGTGTTTCCCTGGAGAGGAGCAGCTGCACAGTGAGTGTGTTGGAAAAGGTGTCTCGGGAGATCATTTGTGTCCTTTGGTCCCTCCTCCATGCCCCAAAAGTACTGGTACTGTATTTCTAGGCACCTTGTGCTCTAGGAGTAAAGCTTGGAACTCTGACTATTGATTCTGTGAGCATTGTTAGAAATATTACATGTGTTTTTAACTCATTCCCCTCAGTAAGTACAGGATATAAGTGTTCACATCAGCTCCTGCCATGTGTGGCTGTGGAGAGTGTGGAATAAGCGTTGACTTTGGTTTAAGTTCTTTCTTTTTTCTTTGCTTTTTTCTTTGGACCTGCAGGTTCCCCTGGAAAACAAGTGGATAACTCAGCCAGCAATCAAGGAAATAACCTAGGGACCCCAACCAAAGCTGGAAAACTGAGCCATGCATTTAGAGATCCCCGGCCAGGGAGGAAAAGTGCAGAGGGACACGTGACAAAAGGTGGTGAGGAGTCAGAGAGTGATTTTGAATCTGATCCTCCCTCTCCCAAGAGCAGCGAGGAAGAAGAAGAACAGGAGGATGAAGAAGTCTTGCAAGGGGAGAACGGAGACTTCAATGATGACAATGATACAGAACCAGAGAATTTAGGCCACCGCCCTCTCCTCATGGACTCTGAGGAAGAGGTGGAGGAAGAGGAGGAAGAGAAGCAGAGCTCTGACTCTGATTCTGACCGTACCAAGCAAAAATCAGTGGAAGGGCTCCTGAGCAGTAGGTTCAGAGACGGTGTGGGCAGCAGTGAAATCCAGGAACCCAGTTCAATGCACACATCCTCATCTGAGGTGCCAAGCACTGTGATCAACCCTGGCCAAGAAGTCGATGTGTTTGGGGCTGTGCCTTTTTTCACCCTGCAGCCTCACACAAGAGAGAAGATGGACAAAGATGTTTCTTCTCAGACAGTTTTTCCCAGCCTGGCCCAGGACCAGGACGACTTTGATGTTTTCACAAAAGCCCCCTTCAGCAAAAAGGTGCCCCAGCAAGACGGGCAGGTGTCGGGAACGGAGCCTCTGCTCTCCCCCACGTCTCCCCGGAGCGTGGATATCTTTGGCTGCACCCCGTTCCAGCCATCCCTTCTCCCCAAGTCTGCTGGGAACAGAGAGGACCTGTTTGGGCTGGTTCCTTTTGAGGAGATCACAGGGAGCCAGCAGCAGCAGAAGGTGAAGCAGCAGCGGAACCTGCAGAAACTGTCTTCCCGGCAGCGGCGCATGAAGCAGGAGGTGTCCAAGAGCAACGGGAAGCGCCACCACGGCACCCCCACCACCACAAAGAAGGGGCTGAAGCCGAGCTACCGCACACCGGAGCGAGCCCGCCGACACAAGAAGGCGGGACGTAGGGACTCCCAGAGCAGCAACGAGTTCCTCACCATCTCGGACTCCAAGGAGAACATCAGCGTGGCCTTGACCGACAGCAAGGACCGAACCAACCCTCTGCAGACAGACGAGAGTCTGCTGGATCCCTTCGGAGCGAAGCCCTTCCACCCGCCGGAGCTGCTGCGGCACCCCCAGCACCAGGGCTTTGGGGACAGCCGCGGGGACCTCGGCACGGTCGTCGTGGCCGGCAGGCCGAGGCAGAGCTCCCTGCACGGGGCCGTTCATGGGGGGGACGGGCTCAAAACAGACGACTTTGGTGCGGTGCCCTTCACAGAGCTGGTCGTGCAGAGTGCACAGAGCCAGCAGCAGGCACTGGAGTTAGATCCATTTGGAGCAGCTCCGTTTCCTTCTAAACAGTAAAGGCTTCCGGTGGGTTCCCCCCATCCTCTCCAAGTCCCTTAATAAAGGTTTAGTGGAGTAACTTATGTGGTGGAAGTGACAGGGACCTTGGTTGTGCAGCTTGTTCAGGTTCAACAGGGCATGGCCCGCTTGCACAATGGAGTTGTGAATGATGGCTAATTCTGATTGGAGGTTTTGGTGTTCTTTTTTTTTTTTTTTTTAAAAATAGAAAAAACAAACTAGGAGGACCATTTTGTTATGGCAGATGGCTCCCGGAATGGAAAGAGGAATTGGATATGAATCACTGTCACTGACTTGGGGGCTGTGGGACATACTGTCATTCTGCACTTTGGTGTTGCCTTTCCAGCCCTCTGCAATGTGCCGAGGTGGAGGGGAACAGGCGGAGGGAGCACATGGAAAATGTTTTCCATATGTACAGGGGGGTAATGAACTGCAGTGGTTCTTCGTGTTTCAGTTGCAGCAGACCTAAGAACCAAGACGTACTAATATCCAGATTATCTGCTGGAAATAGTCTTTGCTTCCTAGGTGAAAACTACCTTTATTAATCATAAAAGATAAAGCAGCCATGTCCTCAAGGGGTTGTGGCCCAGAATTCCAGAGCACAGCTATGGCTTGGGACCTGGCAGACATCCTATGCAGCTGCAGAAATGAAAGGCACATTATTTTTTTGTGTGCCTAAACGGTCAATTTTTTTTTTACAGTAAGTGCCATTAATGTAAAATAGCAAACTGGAAATTTAGAGTCAAAACTAAAGATACAGAAAATATACTGGTTTGGGAGAAGCCTGAATGTAGGAGAGTGAGCCAGCAGGGACACAGTCAGTGTTTGCAGCACTTGGGAGACTCCTCAGCACACTGGAAGAGGGGCTGGTTTATCCTTGGGCACATATAGAGTGTTTAGTTGACTTGCACAGTTGACTGTGGGGTGACTGTGATTGGATTACAAATTGGGATTTGTGTCTGAAAATACCTTTTCTTTTCCTCTTGGATTTTTATTGCAAAGAAAATGTGTATTCTCTGAAGGCTGTTGTTTTGTACAATAATAGTTTTATGAAATGACTGTAACCTAATTAATGCTCTTGTAAGTTTTGCTTCCCTGCTCCCAGCTGTGTTCCAGCCCAGCAGGAGCTGGTGGCTGCTGGACCAGTGAGCTGCATTCACACCACAGAGCCTTAGGAGCAGGACCCCTGTTGTGCTGCCCAGGACCTCGGGGGCATGAGGTGGTGGGGAGGCACTGTGAGCACTGCTGAGGACAGGGTTTCATTCCTGTTTGAGAGAAGCTGGTGCTGTGTGTAGGCTCGTGCCGAGCCATGGACACTGTCTGGAGCCAGCACCCCTCGGGACAGCCCAGTCTGCCTGGGTTCCATGGCCATCCTCAAGGACATGGAAGGAGGTAGTTCCTCAGCAAGTCTCACCTTTATGTCCTGCTCCACTGAATGCCAATGAAGAGGTAATGGATGTTTGTACATGGAGGATGGCAGTGTTGGTTGGGTGTCCTCATGTCTCCCCTGTCACAGGAGGTAAAGTGAAATATTCAGGGTTGTGCTTTTTTTCCCCCTAAGCCTCCTGCTGGTTATACAGTGGTCCTGAGATCTGTGAAGGGGGTGTGTGGATCCCTTACAATATTTGCTCAAAACACATTGAAAACAAATCACGTGACTCCTTTGGGGTCAGTTTGATCAAGTACTCCCTTGGGTGTATGTGAGAGCTTCCCCTCGCCCTGGTATCTGAAAGAAGCTCATAGCTATCCATACACCATCACTACCTTCATCTTCCTCAGTTTCATTTTTCTCACAGGCTGCAAGTGGAATATTCCAGCTGAGCGTGGTTCAGTGTGCCCTTTCCAGGCTTAGAAGTTAAGCTTGTAGGAGGTTCTGAGTAGAAATGTTTCAACTCTATTTGCACAGGAGTTTCCTAGACTTTATTACTGCTCTTCTCACCTGTTCGTTTGGTGCCAAAGGCTGTAAGAAGCACACGCCAAGTTTTGTAGCATTTTCTGATACTCAGGTTAACTGTCTTATTCCTTTTTTTTTTTTCCTCTGCACGTGCTTATGAGCTGCCTTCCCTGGTTTCCTTCAGAGCTGTTACTCACCTGCCTGAAGAGCTTTTGGAACAGAATGAGATGACAGATGGGGTAGAAACAAAATGAGAGTAAAACAGCAGAGAGTAAAACCACCTAAATGTGGCTGGTCCTTGCCAAAGCCATACAGCTGCTGCCTTCCCAGTGGGAAAGGTTAACCGTGCACGTGGCACTGGGGCTTGGCTCCAGGGCCAGGGAGGAGAGGTGGTGGCTGTTGGAGGGAGAAGGTTGTGCAGACCTGGTGTGGACAGAAGCGTTGAGGTAAATTAAGAATAGAAGGAAATATGTTTGTTTTTTATCAGTTTGCCCTGAGACTCCAGGCTGAGGAGTGCTGCAGGTTTTCCTTGTGTGGCGGTTTGGTTGGATTTTGGCAGAGGGTCTGTACATGGTTAAATTGCAGCACAGCAAAGCTGAAGTGGGGTTGAGCACAAACTGAGAGGAGGCAAAGGCAAACTGTAAATCCCAATTTCTCTAAAGCTGGCATAACACCTCTGGTGCACGTGAGTTATGGCCCGTGACATTTGCTTCCTAGTGGCCTTAACAAACCTGGTTCTTCGCACTTGAGATACCAAACAGATTTTTGTATAAATGCAATTCCTTTGTTTCTAAAGTTATTTTATCATTTCTTATGACTGAAGAGAGATTAGTGCCCCCCACTAAGCTGCCTTTGTGCAGTATATGTTGTTTATACACAAATAAACCCAAGCTGGGATTTAATTTCAGCCATGATCCACTATTCAAAGGTGTTGGAATGTGGGACTGTCAGGGAACAGGATATCCTTTGCCTTTTTTGAGGTGTGTGCTCACCGTGGAGCACCCTGTGACCTTACTGAAACATAAGGAAGCCCTTGCTGCAGTAGGCATGTACCATGCTGCCCAGGAAGGCAATAGTGACAAGGGAAGGGGCTGACACTTCCCTTCTGGCCGAAAATCCCTGTGGATCTTTACAGCTTCTCCTTCAGCATGCTGAAGGACTGAAGCACAGGCCTTCTAGGATCAACTGCTGGGGAGAGTCTGTCCTGAGGTACTAAGAAATCCCTATTGGTTGTGGTCATTGAAAGGAAAGCCAGGTAGTTGTGCTTGTCTGTGGACTCAAAGGCCTCGAGGTGTGTAGTTAACTGCTCTGGCTGCCCTGTGTGTGTGTGGGCCCCGTGAGCACCAGCATTGGAGGAAATATCTTCTAATCACTCTGGGTGTCCCAGTTAGTTAAACCAAGTACTGTGAAAATAAGTTGATGTATTTGCTACTGTGAGAATAAGAGTTTATCTGGAGTTTTTTATCCTATATCGTGTATTTTTATATATGAGAAGTCTATATAAAATATACACATGCTCGCACACATCACGTACCCCTTGGAGGTGCTGTGGTTTGGGTAACCCAGCAGCCACAATCGTGTCTGTGACTTGGAGTGAATATGAGGGAAACCTGTGAGGGGAAAACAAGTGCCAAGGGTGGCTGCTGTGCTACTGTTCTGTAGTGCTTATTTCAAAAGGAAATCAAGGAGGTTGTGTGTATGGCTAAAGTTGTGACTGAGGCATCACCTAGTACTAAAGAGCATAAAAACTACTTTAAAATTGCTGGCATTCAGCTTTGAAGTGCACTTTCCTGAAATACACCTCCATTTCTTGTTAGACTTCAAGTTTCTAAAGCTTTTTTGTGTACCACTAAACAGAGAACTTTTAACTTTTTTGTGAGGCTGATGTATGTCATAAAATCCTTGGAGTTGTTAAATAAACAAACCTGGTAACAGTGCCTTTGGAGGTCTCCTTGAACTCTGCATTGTGAGGTATTTGTGTTTAGGCTTTGATTTACTCATTATAAGCAGTGCTGTTTCTGCTGAGTGATTTTGTGGTGTCACTGTCTTTAAAGTGTTTTAAAATACTTGTGTTTGCTGCTCATTCGTCTTGCTTTGTCCAACTGGTTAAAAACGTGTGGATCACGTGCTATTTTGAATTCCTTAGGTTTGGTGTTACTCTTTAAAGCCTTCCTGCAGACAGGTTGTGTGTGGCTCCAGTGCCACTGCTGTGGACTTGGCTCTGCACTTCTAGATAGAACTTGTATGTGGTTTGACCCCCTTCTAGCAGTAGTTTACTCAAGGAGGTTTTTTTGAATGCTACTTGTACTGATTTTACTCAGTTGAGCTGAAATAAGAATGGAAATGGTCAAGAAACAGATGAAGCAGCAGCAGGGCTTGGTTAGTAAACAGTAGTGGCAGTAGGTTGTAAACCTGAGTTTATCAGCAGATTCGTCTAGAGATACTCCCCCAAAATTCCAGAGACAGTCTCTCTGTCTAGTTAACCCCCAAGGCGTGGCACAAGTGCCATGGCTGAGCCACTCCCATCTGTTGTTTTGCTGTGTGAGATGCACAAGTGAGGTTACTCCAAGGAAACCGCCAATGACCTGGACTTTATTTACAGGTTCACTATGTACATAGAAGACCATCATGCAGCTTGATAAATTTTGTCAGGGTAGTAAAAATGCACAGCTTGGCAGTCAGTTTCCCCATCCAGTGAAAACTGATAGAGTAGTTAAGAGTTTCCATAAAAAAATTACATTAGTAAACTCTAAAGTCAGTATGATTTCAGAGCACAGACACCTTCAGATATTATTGTACACATAACACTGGAAATTACTTCTGTACTTGCAGGTTCCTTGTCAGGCTTCAGTAGTAGTAATTAGTGCACTTGAAACTTGCTTGGTTGTCAAGTTAAAAAAAATATAAAATCAGTGTTTACACTGGAAGGCTTAAGGTCCGGGAGCTGAACTGTAAATGTGGAGTCAGTTCTTGCCAACGCTTGTTTCTGGGGTTAAAAAACCAAAACAATAAAAAAGCACCAAAACAGCCCTCTGAGCTGAACAGAAGCATCCCCCGCCATCACACTGGGAGGAGCTTGTGTCCTGCCTTCTCCATTGCCAAGGAGTTCAAGTGCCTGTCTGTAAGCTCCAGGAGTTTGTATCCTGCCTTCTCCATCCCCAAGGATTGTTC